TCTCTCTCTCTCTCTCCCCTTTCCCGAACAGCCACACTCCAAGACAGCTTCTCCCCGTCTAGGCATCTTCTTCCCTCTTTCTAGGGTCCTCCTCTCGCCCCTTTAAGAAGCCTCTGGAGCCACCATCCGTGGCCCCCGGCCAGGGAGAAAGGAAGCAAAGGCCCCCGCGGTTCGCCAACGTTGGCAGCGGGGTTAATGACGGAGACCATGAATTTACCATCGCGAGGTCAGCAAGACTCTGGGCTCAGTCCGGCGCCTTTGCCTACAGGGCTGTCAACAACGCTTCCAACCGTTGCTAGGAGACAAAGGAGGAAGTGGCCTCCCGGAAACGTAGGTTTGCACCTGCGCATTCGCGATCTGGCAGTAGTCCCGGGGGTCGGCTCTTCCGCCCTGATTTCGCGCTTGATGCCTCCGGGCCGCCGTAGGCGAAGGCGGCACCTGGGCTTCCTGCGGACCTGAAGAGAAATGGGGCTCAGGAGGGCAGAGGGGCGTAGGCCTGGCTGCGGCAGGACTGTCAGTTCTCTAAGTCCTTTAAGCACGCATTGGATGTAAGTGCCACTCAGGAACTGTTTCATGACCACCTGTCCCGCACTAGGCTCTGCTGGGGAAACAGACCAAATGTCACCAGTGGAGCTGTTACGATAAGTGTTGGGGCGAGTAAGAGGGATGGGTCCATGTGATTCCGGGGCTGGGCTGCCTTGTAACACGTGCCTTAGCTCTACCCTGTGCAACACTGATACAGCCCTTCCTCCGTAGTGTCTGTATTGACAGCACGGAGCACGACAGTTTATATAGATGTATCTACATTTTATCTATCATAGGCAATATATCTCTATATATACAAAATACGTATATAGAAACTATATATATATAGACAATATGTATCTAGACTATGTCTGTATATATCTAATATATATCTATATATTCATGCATTTTCATTTGTATCTGCCTACCCAAAGCTAATAGAGCAAGCGCCATCACGTCTTATGCTCCCAGCTCCCACCTGGTCGTCTGTAACACCCCTTACTCCTCTGAACTCCGTTGAAGAGTTGGTCCCTTACCAGGAGACATTTGACCTTTTCAAGGGCATTGATAATATTCTTCTCCCTGGTAGAAAGACCAACTGTTATAAGGAAGTGCAGCAAAGAAATTCTGTGGCTGGAGTCATGTTATGAATTCGTAGAGTTTGAAGAGCACAGACGTTGATGATTAAATGCAATTATAAGGCGGGAACGCGTCTCCATCAGGACCATGCTAGAATGACGTCCTTATGATATGGATTCAGTTTGTGCGTCCATTTTCAGGAAGCAAATTCACACCAAACAAGATGTGCTTACTTCTAGGAGTGTCAGAAGCTAGAAAGGCTTTTATTGGGAATGCTCTGCATTTGGTGGTTTTGGACTAAATCTATTTCAACTTGGATTCTGTTATTTTTATAGTAATTTAGATACAGGAGCACTCTGAGAAGCTTTAGTTCTGTTTCAGTTTTTTCTGGGAGTGGAGAGGTGATTCTGGACACTAGATCTCTCCTTTCTTCCCCTTCAAGAATTTATAATTCTCAAAAAGTCAGGTAACTCACAACTTGGTACTGAGCATTTGGGACTCCAACTGCAGTCATTTAGAAAGATCAGTTAGAGTTGTAGGGAAGGAATGTGAATCTGTTGTGTGTGTGAGTGTGTGTATGTGTAAATATTTGCCTCTTACTATCATTTTGCAATAATAAAAATACAGGTCTTTACAGTAATAGTGGCCTAATTGAAAGACCGATTCTTGGGCTCTGATCATAGAGATTCCCACTTTAATGTACACACAGCCATTTGTTTTTCCATAAAAATCAGTGGCAGTGCACCATATCTGTTATGTCAATCAGCCGTAACAAAGGCGCTGACTGCATATGCAAGGAGTGTGAATTCCCTCGTTTCTGGAGTCAGGATGTCAAACTCATTCGATAGCTGACAGCTGTGATTAGAGCACAGAAAGACTCCAGCTTGAAAGGCACTGACAGGTGAACCTGACTGCTGAAAAAGAAATAAGAAGTAGCCAAACTGACTTTCAACCCACAGTCAAGTTTGACTCACTGTGCACAGGAAATCAATGAGGAGAATATAAGCCATTTCCCCGTCATCGATTTTCACTTCTAATTATTCCTTGGAGACAGCTTGGTTTAATTTTTATGCCTTTTTTGGGGGACTACAATGAATATCCCAAGCTGTGCTGTATAAAGTGTGCTGGCAATATCTGACATGTCTCCACCTTGTTGTCAATACATGTGAACTCTCCCTCTACCCTCTCCTATTCTTCCATTCCTTCACATTCTTTTCATTCAGTAGTGTTAAGAAACTTCCAACTTAAGTGAAAGTATTGATGAATAATACTTTTTTGCAAGTACTCTGATGTGACCCCAAATCATGCTATATGCAGAGACAAATCCCTTATTTTTCCACATAATTTGTTAAAAATGAGACGGTTTTCTTTTCAAGAAGAGTCTCTCTTGCTTTTTAATAATTCCTTGTTCTCCTCTGGTTGGCCTGAAGAAATCCAGGTGACTTCATGACTTTGAGGTTTTCCTCTGGAGTTTCCTGTAGCACCCCATATAGCTATCTTTGGTATCCCTGCCAGTTGGCAAATACTAAAAATCTTATGCCCATTTTTCTCATAAAGCAGTGTTTGTCAACTTGAACAGAACTCCTAGTATTGTAGTAGTTTCCCTTCAGAAAATAGACAATAGATTTTTCTAAAATTCCCCTTACTGCCAAGGCAGACTTAGAGGATGGCAGTGATATCCATAAGTTTTCCCTGTAACAGACCCAATATCAAACAATTATAGGAATATACATTTAGTTTTTCAAAAGATTTTCAAAACCATTTTCTGCTTGTTAGGACAAAGGCTGCCTCTGGGGTAATCTTTTTCAGGACCCAATTGTAACACACGTAATTACTTCCTACAAGGAAATGCTCCTTGTTGGAATTGAGCAGTTTCCTAGAGCACAGGATTTGGAGTTGCGTGCAGCTAGAGTAGATGTTTTAAAGTGTGTTCCCTTGAATAAAACAAACTCTCAGTGGCAGTTTCCTCACTTGAAGAGGGTTGAAGTGAAGTTTAAATGATATTAATGTGGATGAAATGCCCAGTATGGATCATTTAACTATGTTTCTTTCTTCCATCTTTCCCTTCTTCTAGTTTTTTCCTTCTTTTCTCCATTCTTTTCTCTGTTTTCTTCCTCCTTTTGATCATCCCGTTTCACTTCCCTTTACCTCCCCACCTTCCTACTGTGTCTTTCCTCTCTTCTTAACACCCTTCTCTTTAACCTTTTTCTTTAAGTCCTCCTTGGGAACAATCTCTAGAATTCATATAGTGGGCTTTCTCAGTAAAGAATGTTTTTTCCTCCCCTCAGCCCATTATTTACCTAGAACCTTCTACTTCTGCTTTTTCACAATTCCCATTTTTAAATTTGTGGTTCCAGTTCTTATCTCAGTGCATTGCCTTTAGCAGAGAGTCTGTTTCTAAGGGTTGGGGGCAAATTGTAACTATTTCCTCATCTATTAATTTTGCTTCAAGAAGGAAAAGGAAGGTCTGAAGGTTGTACTAAATCTCATGCACTTTGTGTACCTCTTCTTTTCTCTGGTAATCCATTAACAAAATCTGTAAGCTATTTTCAAGATCTCTGATCTATTTCGTTTCACAATTACTTTGGTAAGTAGAACACACAAAACTGAAGTGTGGAAAGCAAATAGGCGAGTGAGTGAGTGTCCATAAATGCACTCCTGTGTCACCCAACCAGGTCAAGAGAAGTAAAGCACTGTCCACATCCTAGAAGCTTCCATGCATTCACTCCGAGTCATTTCTCCTGCTCTCCTTCCAAAATTAATTGTCTGATTTCTGGCAGTACAGTTCAGTTTGCTTCATTTAACACTGTGTCAATGGAATTATCCAGTGGACAGTCTTTTGTTTTGGGTGTCTTAGGCCCAGCATGATATGTATGGTAGTCATCTGTGTTGTGTGCAGTAGTAGTTTATTTATCCTTATTGCTGTGTAGTAGTCACTTGTAAGTCAACCCCAATATTTATTTATACTTTTACCATTGATAGATGTTTTGATTGTTTCCAGGTTTTGAATAGTATGAATGGTAGTGCCATAAGCATCATTTCATTTGTCATTTGGTGCAGATTTGGTGGAACTGCCGGACTTGCTGAGTCATAGAGCAAGGTACGTGCTCAGGTAATGCCATACTTTCCAAGTGATAATGTCAGTGTAGCAGTGTACCCAGAAGTAGTGCAAGAGAATCACTTTGGGCTTATAGCCTTATCAATAGTTGGTATTGTCAGGGTTTTTAATCTTAGCCATTTTGGTATGTGCATTATCGTATTTCATTGTGGTTTTAATGTGATTGTTGATGAAATTGAGCAAAATTCCTATATATTTGTTAAGTGATTCTTTTGGATTGCGTGTGTGTGTGTGTGTGTGTGTGTGTGTGTGTCTGACCATAGGCACCTTGGATAGAAGCTCTTTATTGGATATATCCATAGATCTACACACAGACATACACCACACACATTCAACTCTGTGGATTGAATTTTATTCTCTCAATTGTAAAGAATGTAATTTTGAAGAATATAATTTCTTAATTGCAATAATCAATATTATTTTTATGAGATTAGTATTTTGGTATCATGTTTAGGGATCATTTCCTGACTCCAAAATCATGAAGATGTTTGATTTATTTTTTCATGAGTCAAATCGACACAGTACCCTTGCTATGGTTTGAATATGTCCCCCAAAGTCATGTGTTGGAAACTTCATTTCCAATCAACAGTGTTGAGAAGTAAGAGCTTTAAGAGGTGATTATGTCGTGAGAGCTCTGCTTTCATGCATGGATTAATGTTATCATTGTGGCAGTGCATCATTTTTAGGAGAGTGGATTCATTATAAATCCAGCCAGGCCCTCTCTTACTACTCTCCCACATGTGTGCTTTCTTGCTCTTCTGCCTTCAATAGTAGGATGCCAAATCAGGAATGTCCTTGTCAGATGCCTGCTCTTTGATACTGGACCTCTGAGCATCCAGAACTATAAAAAATTATCTATTTTCTTTGCATATTGCACAACCTGTGGTAATTTGTTATAATAACATAAAATGGACCTAATCAAGTCCTGAAAAGACCACATTTCCTTACAGTTCTGCGGTGTCACCTCTGTTAATATACAAAGTGTCTGTACATGTGTGTTCATCTTTTAGGGCTCTCTATTACATTCAACTGATTTGTAGCCCAATATAATCATCCTAATTTGATTATATTATTATAAAGTA